TGCTCGTTCGGAGTAAAGTCGGGAAAGTTCTTGGGGTACATGGTGACAAAGCGGGGGATAGAGGTGAATCCTGAAAAAGTAAAAGTGGTGATCGAAATGAAGCCACCGGCTAATGTGAAGGAGGTCCAAATACTAACTGGTCGAACAGCGGGCCTAAGCAGGTTCATTTCCAAGGTGGCCGAAAAGAGCAGCCCTTTGTTCAAAACCCTGAAGAAGAGCTCGAAATTTCAATGGACAGAGGAAGCCCAAAAGGCCTTTGAGGAGTTGCAGAGGACGCTGACTAACTTGCCCTTACTGGCCAAGCCAATTCACAGAGAGGAGCTCGTGCTCTACATATCGGTGGGCGAGAGTGCTGTAAGCTCAGTGTTATTACGAGAAGAAGGAGTGGCACAATTCCCAATATATTATGTCAGTCGGGTAATGCAAGGAGCAGAGTTGAGGTACTCGGAAATTGAGAAATGTGCACTGGCGGTGGTCCTGAACCACAAAGTTAAAGTGCGCACAAACATGCCGTTGGAACAGACTTTAGGTCGACCAGCAGTGTCTGGTCGACTAGTAAAGTGGGCGATCGAGCTAAGCGAGTACTCAATAAAATATGAACCGAGAAGGGCGATCAAAGGGCAGGTGTTGGCCGATTTCATACAGGAAGGTACGAAAGGGGAGGAAGATGGCGGAGGAGTGTGGCAGTTGTTCGCAGATGGTTCGGTATCGAGGAGTGGGGCTGGCTTGGGAATAGTCTTGATCTCGCCCAAAGGAGATTATTTAGAGTTCGCCGTCAAGATGGGGTTTCGAGTATCAAACAACGAGGCAGAATATGAAGCGGTGATAAAGGGATTACAATTGGCTCTGGCCGGAGGTGCTCGGAGAATCCAGGTCCATTCTGACTCGCAGTTGGTGGTCGGTCAATTCCAAGAAGGCTTCGAGATCAAAGAAGATCGACTGCAGCGTCATGTGGACAACATAAAAAATTTGAAGGAAGAATTTGGGACATTCGAATTAATACAAATACTCCGAGGGGAGAATTGTCGGGCTGATTTACTGTCTAAAATCGCACAAAGCTTGGTCGATTGTAAGAGTATGAGTGTGACCCTACTTCACATGGAGAGGAGCGCGACGGAAGTCGAGGTGGCGGAGATCGAGGAGGTAGAGGACTGGAGGGCCCCAATCCAGAAGGAGTTACGGGAAGGGACCACAAAGGTAGTGAGGAGGTTTTTCGAGCAAGGAGGGATTCTCTATAAACGATCATATGCAGGTCTGCATTTAAGATGTGTATCCAAAGAGGAGGGTCGGTACGTTCTACGAGAAGTGCACGAGGGATGCTGTGGCGATCATAGCAAAGCCGGGGCCATGATTGCAAAGATCTTAAGAGCAGGCTACTTCTGGCCGACAATGAAAGCGGATGCTAAGGAAATGGCCAGGAAATGTATGCAGTGTCAGAAGCACGGCCCGCTCATACACCAACCAGCGGAGACCATGACTACAATGAGCGCACCTTTTCCGTTTGCACAGTGGGGCATCGACCTAGTGGGACCAATGCCACAAGCAACAGGGCAACGAAAATTTTTGATCATGGCGGTCGACTACTTCACGAAATGGGTGGAAGCTGAACCGTTGGCCAAAATTACAGAAGAAAAAGTGATCCAGTTCCTGTATAATAACATTTGCTGCCGGTTTGGAGTCCCTAAAATCCTGATATCTGATAACGGAACGCAATTCAATGGTAAGCGGATAAGAGCGTGGTGCGAGGAAATGGGTATCGAGCAGCACTTCGCTTCTGTCGCACATCCACAAGCCAACGGACAGGTAGAGGTGACCAACAGGATCATCCTAAACGGACTTAAAACAAGGCTGGAAAAAGCTTCAGGAGCGTGGGTCGACGAGCTGACATCTGTGCTCTGGGCGTATAGGACCACTCCAAGGTCGACCACTGGCGAAACGCCCTTTAGCCTGGTATATGGGATGGAGGCACTTCTACCAGTGGAATTAGAACTGCAGTCTCAACGATCGAGCACTTATGATCAGGAGAAAAACGAAGAACTCATGCTGACCGCCATGGACACCATCGAAGAACTCAGAGAACAAGCCTCGACCAGGGTTGAGGCATACAAGCAAATGATGAGGGCAACACATGACCGAAGAGTGAAGATTCGCCGATTCCAAGTAGGAGACCTGGTGTGGAAAAGAGTAGATGTGCTCAAGCATGTGGGAAAGTTAGAACCCAATTGGGAAGGGTCGTACTTGGTCGAAAAGGTACATGCAGGAGGAGCGTACTCTCTGAAAGACGCTGAAGGCAGGTCACTGGCTAGGTCGTGGAATGTAGCTAATCTTAAAAAATACTATGTGTAAACTCTTTTATCTATTCGAGCAGTTCAATCATTGTAAGCCTCTTATGGGGAGTTATCAAAATGATCGATTTCTATAAGAGGATGTCTCTACCAGCGTCACTAACACGTTGGAAATTTGATTTCATACAAGCTCCATTTGGTGCACTCAACAACACTACATACTCTACATGCTCATAACACGATGATTCCCTTAAACAAGACCAAAGTCCTTCGTTTATGGAACACCTCGACCAAGAGGTGGGCGAAGGTCGCTTGTTTTTAGGATCGAATTGAGTGGCAAGTTTTATCAGTTTTAGGTATAAATTTCCTTAATATGCGGGCAACAAAACTAAAGTCTATAAGGAGCACACCTCGACACAATTGGGCGATGATGAGTGGTGAGGTATTAACTAGGATTCACACAGGTTTAAGGGCAGCGAGTGGTGATTATGGTTTATTGCATATAAACGAGAACATTGATAAGGCATAAGGAGCATATGTCAACATGACTATGAGAAATCATAATACAGAGCAACTCAAAAAATGGAAAGCGAAGGCATTGCACGACACAAAAAAGAAGAAACCAAGGTTTTCATTCCATGGCGGGTACAAGATTACAAATTACATTGCACCAAAGAAATATGAAAATACATCGTCGAGCACCTAAAACTATTTTGGAGAAGCGGTCGCAGATAGAGCAACGTCGGTCGACTGCGCAGCAGTGGTAGAGGACACAGTTGATGACACCGTGGCAGAAGCCCGCGTAACGGAAGTCGATTGGGCGGTTGTGGCCGACGACATAGCAGCAGCGGTCGAGGAGACGTCTGCAGCTGACGAGGCGAAAGCAGCAAACCCCAACTGAGCCGCTGTGGTCGGATGGACGACCGCAGAGGAGGCAGAAGCAACGGTGGTCGAGTGTGAGGCGCCAATCGAAGAAAGGGAGGCGACGGTAGAATGATTGAGAGCCGAGGCTGATGAATGGGAGATGGACGAAGGAGCGTGGGTGGTCACAGGCTGTGGAGGAAGGAAGCCAACTGAGAGACGGACCAGGGGTGCCTCGCCTGGCCTGGGCAAGTCAAACGAATTCTTCAGAGAAGGATCACCCGCCAAGGTCTTCTCCAGAGAACTGGCCCACCAAAGATGATCGGCAGGCAGGGTGGGATCACCGGTGAAGCTAGAAGGAGCAGAGGGAAATGCTTCCCATGTTTTGTCCTGGTCAAGCTCACCAGTGAACCCCATCTCTTTCAGCTGGCGCTCGACTTCCTCCATGCTGTAGGTATAGAAGTCCATCCCCATCTCAGCCGCCTCTTTGAGGAACGCCGTCGAGCACAGGAAGTCCTGGATCAGCTGCTCCCGATAAGCTTTGAGGAAGTTCTGACCAACTTGGGTCCTCCACAGGGCTCGACGAGACTGCTCGATGGCAGTAATGGCAGCGGCCTCAACCTCCTTCTTTCGGCCAGCCAGCTCTACCTCGAGAGCTTTATCTTTGACTTGCATAGCCTCCTTAAACCGCTGCTCGTCTCTCTTTATCTGCTCAGCTAAGGCATGGCGGGTCTTGAGTAGATCCTCATTCTCGGCCCTCAATCTCCGGTTCTCTTCCTCGAGACGCCTATTGTCGCCCTCAAGCACAGGAATTGGGCGACCGGTGCTGTTCAACGTTTCCTCGAGGAGAGGCAC